CTCCGAAGCTGCGGCTGCTGTACACTCTGCAGGTTCCTCGCCTGCACAACACGCCTTTTGTTGGCAGACAGCAAAGCGCGAACTGCATATTAAGATAGTCGGAGTCGCGTGGCGCAACGGAAATGACTGATTCTCATAAGGAAGTGCAAAAGAGCCGAAGAAATTGCAATGGAATTGCAGAGGAAGACGTAATTCATGAAAATGAACTTTCATAATTGCACACATGCTTACAGATATACAGACATACAAACACATACACATACACACGTGTACATATGTATATGTACAGCATAAACATACCAAAATTTATGTAGATACATGCCTGCAACATTCTGGGGTTAAGCTCGTAACAGAGAGCGAGTGCTTTAGGAAAGATACAAATTCTTTAAAATATACAGATTTTCTTTCCAGCGGGAAAAAAGTAATAGAAATAATCCCTTTTCCATATACGAGCATGTTTTTATTTGGACAGTTTGTATGGCATTGGAGACTCTGGACAATACTCTGTTCCGAATTATGTATGTGAAGATAATTTGTCAAATATATACAATAGTTAGTGGTTCTTTCCAAGCAATATCTTAGCAGATTGTAGCGCTGCTTTGCTTTCGTGAAGGTATCCCGTCAAATAAAAAAGGTAAGAGTGTACACGAAGACCGTGGAAAGTTGATTCGGCGCCGTTCGCTCCCACTCGGACTGACGTACGGAACGAATTGGCGCATATTACGGCGAGATCTTAAATTGAAAGTGTACAAAATACAGCCTGTACAAAAACTAAAGCCCATCGACCTTAACAAGCGATTCGCTCAACGGGCTCTTGAAAAGTTTGAAGATGATCCGATGTTACTGAGCTAAATTTTGTGCAGTGACCTATTTCTGGCTCAATGGGTATGTAAACAAGCAAAATTGCCGCATTTGAGTCGAAAAGCAACAAAAAGAGATTCTGGAGCTGCCATTTTATCCAGATGGTGTCGTTTGTGGGCTGAAGAAATCATATTTTTCAAAAATGAAGCCGATGAGAACGTAAGCGTCAATGACGACCGTTATCGTGCTATGATAACCGACTATTTGACGCCTAAAATTGAAGCTCGTAATCTCGGCGACATTTCTTTCTACAAGACGGCGCCACTTTTCACACATTACATCATTCAATGGATTTTTAGTCAGAGAACCTTGACTAGAATACTGTCAAAGTTCAATGTCATTTCATTCAAGCCTTCTCAAGTGAGTTATCTCTGTCTCTGACGTTGTCCCCTTTCTTTACAGTGAAATTAAAAATTAATTTCGTTTCTTGATGGGGGAAAATTATGCTTAATAAGTTGTAAAGAAAATCTGCACATAACTATATCAGCGCAAGTGAGGTACCATGTTCAGGAAGCTACAAAAGGCTTACAAAAATTATGAAACATGAAATTATGATAGATCACCCTAAAATGAAATCAAGTGAATTAGTTGATATTACATCCCAGAGCAAGCTTAGGTTAGAACAATCACGATTTTTTACAAATGACAGTGTGTTACGTGCTCCATTCCTTACGATCAAAACGATAAACTTGTTCGAATTTCAAAGGACAATCTTTCACTGATTAAATAAGGCGAATTATTTGTGAAAAAGGATCGAACATGGCTACAAGACGGTTGTTGCCCAATGAAAGATTCTAACTAGCATTTTTGGAATTTATTGTATATGGAACTATTTTCATTGAATTGTTGGGCCAAAATCTTTAGAAGTTGGTATCAGGCACTATAAGGAGGATTCGAGGATCAAAAAAGTACAAATTGTTTTCAGTCTAGTCTCATAAAATGATATATCTAAAACATCTGGAGTGAAGYATGTGAAGGGAGGATGGAGTCATGTGTAGAAGTTCACGTAAGTTAGGAAATTTCTCTGATCGCCATTCACTTGGGCCACAAATAAGGTCAATAAAAGTTTCCGGGTGTAGAAATCTCTGAAATATTTAGTCAATCGACGAATGAAATCAAGTTTTCTATGTTTAACTTTTTCAGTGACAGACGTTGAAATGCAAACGTAGCGCAAAAACCACAGCGAGATTTGAAATTTTACCCACTTTAGCTGAGCTGTGAACCCAATATACATACATCATCACAGAGGAGGGTACGATATTTGCTGATGATTCTCAATTTTTATTTTACAGCTCTCAATTTTATTCAGGAATTAGACAATCTCATGATACATACATATGTATGTATATTTCCATATCATATTCCAATACTCCAGGTGATGCCAAGCCACTTTTTTGAATATGAGAACACAGTATAATTTTATATTCTTTATAACTATGTAAATTTACATACAAATACATATGTACATATAGGTAAACGAGTATAAAGCATACACATAAACTCATTTATTCTCGTTAACTTCGAGCATGAACTTGAACTTGACCTCGACAAACAAAAGACACCCGATTATATTAAGAGTGCTTTTAATAAACATCCGAAGAGTGCGATGAACAGCAAAAGCAGCAACAACTCTGCTTTTCCCTTTACTCACGCATATTTATATGTATATCGTAAATAACTACAAAATACAAACTACAAATAAAGACTAATACCTCAATCACACGAAAATTTATGGAACGACCATTTAGGTATTTAATATGAAATGGAATTCATGCATGACTGAGTTTTTGTTGGCTTAACGGCTGTGGAGAAATTAAAATTCAAACTTTAAGTGCTTGTGGAGCGCAGAGCGGAAGGGCGAAGAGCAGAGCGAGGCGAGAAATGTGTGAAATGTTTAGTTTCTCAAGTGAATAAAAAGAACACACAGGTGGTTTTGACGAAATTTACATTTACAAGCACGCATACAAGCATATAATATAGTATATGTATATGTACGTGTAGATGTGCGTAAAAAATGAGCAAAGCGCTGAGTGAACGGATATGGGAGAGCGGCACGCCAATTAAAGGTTAGGACGCAAAGAAAAAAAAATTAAGAAAGGGTATATGTATGTGTGTAAATAAGTATATGTATATGTAAAAACAACAACAACAAGCCCGAAAAATACAACAACCATAAATGGAAGCGACCAGCGACTTTTATTATATTATATTTCGCCTCAACAACACCAAAGCCAAGTCAATTAAGCGCACTCCACCAACAAAAGGTACGGCCGGGAAGTGGAAGATATCTCGTAGAATCAAATACCACGAATTTATGCGTAAATTAACACAAAGTGGAGAAGCAAGAAGACATAAAGCTTTTGATGGATGTATTCAAGGCAGTAAAAAAAAATCCAAAAAATTAAAAATGTTCGAATTAATCAAAGTAAACAAGTGCCACAAACGCGAGCAAAAACACAACACACTCAAGAACAAAGAAACACAGAGCGCTGAAAATAAGCAAATGGACACATGAGTACGTTTTACAATATTTGCTTTCATGGAATTACCGAAAATTCCGACACTGATATGAAATTCAAAACATGCTCTGATTTCGAAACATCTCGGCAAACGCTGCGCTTCGATTCGACGTGGAAAGGTCACAACCAGAAAAGAGCAACAGCGACAAATTAATGACCAAAAGAAGAGTTGAAATTCAAGTGACGTGAAGCTGTAGAAACAAAAATAAAATGGTATTGAATTAAAAAAAAAAGAGAAATAATATAAAATGGAGTAAAATAAGAAGAATTAAAAGAAGTAGGCTGGCGCGTGTTTACTGCCGCAAGCTTTATAATTCATCTGATTTGTGACTATAAACATAAAACCAACAAACGTTCTTTGTAAAGGCATTTTTATAGCATAATAGCTCATGTAAATACCTTTTTCACGCTAAACTTAATTCCACTGAAGAATATACTTTAAGATTTACACGCAATAGTTCGAATTCAAATAAAACATTTGACTTCGAGATCTTAAATTGAAAGGGTACAAAATACAGCTTGTAGGAGAACTGGAGCCGCTTGACCTGCCCAAACGAAAAGTTCCAAGAAGATCCGACGTTGTAAGGCCAAATTCTATTCAGCGATGAGACCGATTTCTGTCTCAAGGTTATGTATGTAAACAAGCAAAATTACTACATGTGAGACGAAGAGCAAGCTGAGGACCTGCCATTTCATCCAGAAAAACAACGGTTTTGGTGTAGTTCGGCATCATCAAATGTAATTTCACATTTTGGGCCGGTCGATTGGCCACCAAGATTGTGTGTGATATATCATTCCGTTAGACTTTTTCCTGTGGGGATATGTAAAGTCTACCTTCTATGCGGACTGTCCCGCTTCGATTCAGCCCTTACAGCGAACATCACGTGCGTCATTCGTCAATTACCAATCGAAATGCTCGAACGGGTCATCGAAAATTGGACTCAACGGATGCACCATCCGAGACGTATTCGCGGCCTACATTTGAAAGAGATTATCTTCAAAAAATAAAAACCAAAGAATTTTCTTTCATGTGATAATAAAAATYCTCCATTAAATTTGAATTTTCGGGTTTTTTCTTTAAAAAAGTAGGGAACCTCGAAATGGATCGCCCGTAATAAACAAAAAATATGAAGAACAGAAGAAAATTAGAGTATCGAGATATAGATATGCATACATATGTACATATGTATATCTATGARTATTTTTATGTTCATATATCTGTATATCTAGTTCAACGCCTGTCGCTCTATCAAATATATAGTATTAAAACAACAAAAACATTACAATAGAATCTTTTACCAACGGCATTAACTGCGACGCGGCAGCGCAGTCGTTAATAACCACACCACCCGCCGTCAAAAGTCGAAAAATCCCAGAAACTTCAATATGAATAAAAGCAAATAATAATATACATATCTACATGCATACATATGTATGTATGAACAAATGAGCCCCGCTAGACACATATCGCCACATACAATATATTCACAATTCCATATATACAAGCGGACGTATGTATCTATATACATACATATATCAATGTAAAAGTATGTTATATATTTTTGTGTTCATAGGTATGTATATATTTGTATGAGTCAGTAATGACCAAGTAAAACTTACTGTGTCTTCCAGCGATAATCGAGTGCTCGCTACGGAGAAATTCATTTTAGCGGCGGCAAACGATTTGGCAGCTACGCCGCCACTAAAATCGGCCGCATTGGAGGAGGTGATAATTGAAATATCCATATTAAAGCCATCTAACGACTATTGTTTTTTGTTGTTGCTTGTAAGCACAATAAAAATTATTATTACTTTGTTTAATAATGTACTCGGCAATTGAAGCGTTGCGTGACTTTGCGTTTGGAGCGTTTAGCGATTTCTTTCAAAGCCGAAGAAACGTTGCTTCTGTTGCGCTTGTGTTTAGAACATCAACGTGTTTTTGGACTCAAACGTCAAAGCGAYTTTGGAATTCTAGCGCTTTGGTCTTTACGCCTCGCTGTTGCTTGCTATGATGATGCGTATTGTTGTTGTTGTTGATGATTGTTATTTTAGGCCGCTAAGCTGTTTGATGGCAACTGTTTGCTTGTTGGTGGCGTTTAATTGCGTTGCTGTAACACACACACAAACATAATGATCGCACATACACGCGTTGCAAAAAATATAACACTACACCAATGCAAGTACGAACAAAAACACTAAAACGGCAATTGGAAATTGTGGTTGTTATTATAGTGCTTGAATACACCTATGTACATATGTAAGTATAATTTTTTTCTGCAGGCAGTGATTCAACAAGGACACCTTTTAAATAATTTTATTGTTTTTGTAACTTTATTAAAACTTTTTTGTTGTTGTTGTAGTTTTCATAATTTCTTTTTGGTGCTTCGACACAGGCTGGTGCACAAGAAAACAAGCAGCTTTTGCGTAGTTGTTGTTGTTGTTGTCGTTGAGTTTAATTTGTTGTTGTTGTTGTTGTTGTTGTTGTTGTTGTAATAGAGTTTACTTTGTTGTTGTAGTTGTATTTTGATTAAACATGTTCTTGGTGCAGTTTGCTTAAACCATGTTGTTGTTGCATTGTAGATGAGAACTTGTGGTTGTTGTATTAATATGATAAATTGTTGTGGTTTTTGTTGAAAACCTTTTGTTGTTACTGTATTTTGATGAAAAATTGTTGTTGTTGTATTAGTTTTGTTGTTGTAGATTTTGTTGCTGTTGTATTCAGTTTAATACTTGCTGGATTTCCCACACGAAAAAATATTATTGTTGTATCTAGTATATTCTAGACACAACTTTCACACAAACACTGCCTACACTAACACAAATACACACACCCTTACCGTAGTCGATTTAGACGGTTTTTGTTTTCTTAGAAGCGCCGGAAATTCCAGTTGCTGCAGAATTTGCATGGCAATTTTGCACAACACTAATTTTTCATGTTTATATGTAAGTGAATTTATTAATTTTAGTTGGTGTTGTTACCTTCTTTTTTACCCGAACACACACTTTTGTAGCACACTGTGACACTTTTGCACATGTTTCAGACACTATTGTAATTAACGAAAATATTTTAACACCAATTGCGCAATTTCATCGCATAAAAAGTTCCGATTTTTGCGAATTTCTCAAAATTTAGATTCTTTGATCTTTCAGCACTAGATACGCCGCTAACCACACATATAATGATAAATATACATATATTTGTATGTATATGTACCAAACGAGCGATTTCACCAAGTCAACGTCAATTGATCAGCGCACGCCAACTGAATCGAATTYGCCGTCAGTCGCCGACAAACGCTGAAATGAGCGACGAGCTAGAGAAGAGAGGAAGAAAGAGAGACAGAGAGTTGGAGATCAAAAGAGTGGTCATCGGTAGAAATATATGTATGTATATGTATTTATATACAAACATATGGCGTATAGAGATTATTATAATTTATCAAAGAAAAGTAAAACGAAAACAAAAACAAAAACAAAAAGCGAAAATAATCAAAATAAAAAACATAAAAATTGACAGCTGGCCGCAAAAGTAATAATATTAATAATAACAACAAACATTGTAAAAAGAGAAATAAATATTCTTTATTTGTTCACAATAACAACAACAACAACAACACTGTAGCGTGTTTCGATGTGTRTGTGAGTTTACGGACAAATGAACTTATCGAGCAGCCGGCGCGTTTTGGCACAGCCGGAACAATTTATTTAACATTTTATGTCCATATGTATGTGTGTTGTGGCAATAAAATTTTGGGTAATAAAGTTTACATTATTCCATTATATATAAATATAGAATAAACTAAACTTTTAGTTCGCAAAAAAAATCTTTATTGTTGTGTTGGGCAATGTCAASCCATTATGCAGAGGGTAATCCASTGACGACCAAATAAAATATAAAAMTCATAAAAAATTAAGAGATCAAAAAAAGGGGATGTTTTTATTTAGGTATAATGATCAGTTTAGGTATCGAATAAAGCAAAARTTACATACATATGTATGTACATATGTCCAATTTGAATGCACTACACCCCTCAACAGGATTTTTCAACAATTACCAGCTTGATAACCGTTAGTTTTCATACAGCTCTAACTACCGAGGAATGGAACAGGTGGGTGGACTGAAACCTCATAAGCTAACATTGAAGACCTTTTTTTTTTATCAAATTAATTTTATTATAGAATATAGTTAACTTCGAGGGCAATACATGTGACCGTCATAAAATTTTCCAATACGATTTATTTGTATACTCTTRCAACGTGCTGCTACAGAGTATAATAGTTTAGTGCACCTAACGGTTGTATGTATCMTYTAAGACTAATCGGATTAGATATAGGGCTAAATATACACATTTAAATGATCAAGGTGACGAGAAAAATTGAAACCCGAGTGACTGTCCGACAACCGATTTCAACCAAATTCGGTATATGACATTCTACGGATATTCCTAAAATACAGTACAGGTACGAGTTAAATCGGAATACAACCACGCCTACTTCCCATGCAACACAATTTTAAATTACATTTGATTCTTTCACTTGCCAGTGTACTAATCAAGAAGAAATTTTTATAACAGGGTATAAATTTGCACTAATAATTATTTCAAAGTATGCCCCCTTATGACCAAACATTTCTTAACTCCAACCAAAACTATTCAAGCTCCCACATATCGAATATGTGGGCTCCAGAGTCTATAGTTGACTTTTTATGATTATGAAAACTCGCCCTAAGCCTGATATAACTTACAAGCCTTATTTTCCTATATTTTCCCCCGGTCACACCACGTGATATCACACCTTTAGAGTAAATTATGTAAACTCTAAAGTCTATTCAGATTCAGATTCAGGCCTTGGAACAAAAACTAAATGCCAAAAAATGTTCTTCAGAATTATTATAAACATTCCTCGTTAAATTTGATGTTTCTGTGTTTTTTCTTTAAAAAAGTAGAGAACCTTTAAATGAATCAACCAGAAAAAGGTATTTGTGTGAAAAAGGAATATTTATTTATGGAGTTTTTTTAATGTTTATAAATATATTAGATAAAATTTATCTGATGAACATATGTACTTAAGAATGCTTTTATCAAAACATATTTCGATCGGAGTTGCCAACTTAAAAAAAAAAAAGAATATTAATTTCGGCTGCCAGCTATAAAACACTTCACAGGTGTTTTTTTTTATAGCATAAAAAGGCATGAAAAGATATTTATCGCGATTTTGATCGGCCACTTTGAAAATTTGTTTCGAAAATTGCACCATTGCTTTGGACAATAACCTATGACAAATTTCCCGAAGATATCTCGTCAAATGGAAAATTTTACCATATAAGTATTAGATTCCTATCGTTCAATTTGTATGGCAACTACATAGTGGTCTAATATCCGTGGTTGTCACAAATTCATGTCACCATTGCCTGAGGAGAAAAGGAAGTGTGCAGAAAATCAATACATCAAGAAATCACGGACTAGTTCGCGTATGTACAGACAGACAAACGGCAAGATTAAATCGACTTAGCGGTCACGCTGATCATTTCTATATATGTATATAKTTTAAGGGTCTTGGGCTATTTCTTCTGTATKTTATAAACTTCATATGTTGTGCGGAGAAAAGATAAAGAGAAAATATCCAGGCATGTTCTCCTCCCTTGTTCAGCCTTTGAAAGACTGACGCTGAAACATCTAGGTAATCGAAGCAACAAACATAGTCGAAAATGATATTAGCCGTCGCAACAAATTTGTGACAGGCTCAAAACGCTTTGTCGATCTGTAAGGGTTTTATGATGCAGTATTTGAGTTTGTAGGTACCACAACGAATCTGCGTTCAACGCTTTTCAACGCTTAGGATCGACCTTTTAACCGAACCAAACCCAGCCTATAAACTTCGTGGTCCTATGTTCCAGTATTTATGAGTTTATATGCACCACAACGGACCGTCCTTCTAAGCTGTCCAAGTGAGATCCTTCTTAGGATCGACCTTTTAACCTAGCCTAACGTACAAAAAATCAATAAGACTGTCTAGTCGCATTGAGCTCAGTCGAAATATTTCCAATAATTCTTTATTCATTGCATTCTATTAAACATTGATTAGTATTTTATATATTTCAAGGGGAATTTTATACATTTTTGCAATTCACACAAATTCATTACACCGTCATTAGTCAGTATTTCGAAGCGATATTAATGTGTAAATAAGGTAATCGACATTGTTTACGAAATTATTRCATCTGTAATGTTTACCAGTATAATATTTATATATAGGGTGTTTTTAGAGGTATAGACATTTTTAGAACRATAACTGTTAAAGTCGCTGTCAGAATTAATTTAATGCATTTTTCAAGATATCGTTGGCTTTAAGATTATTTAAGATTACGGTCAATGGCAAGCGATAYACCCGGAATTGAGCTTTTCTGGTCCACCATAAACGCCAACATCAATAATATTCAATAAGTATTGAACTTAAGCAACAACATGGTGACGAAGTCATGAAATCACCAAATCAAAACGTGAAACAGCAAATCATATCAATGAAGAAATCATGACTCTGTTAAAGTCACGACACTAGACTGTGGAGAGTAGATTCGGCGTCGCTTGCAGCAACTCGGACTGACGTATGGAACGACTTGGCGCATTTAACGTTGATATCGTAAATTAAA